TCTGAGCCAGTGGGGCTGAGCCGGAGTCAGTTAGACCTGTCCACTAGTCCATATGGCCTCACTTCGTCAGTGAGGTGACGGTGACAGTGCGACAAATGTGCCCGGCTGCATCCGTCGTGTTTGAGTCAATAATGTCCGTCTTGGTGTCAATGGAACCTGGTCGAGTCCCCGAGACCTGACTCTGGGTCAAGTAGGTCTGACTCTGAGTCAATGAGTAAGAGTTTAAGTCACGCCTGGCTATGAGCCCGCCGTTCTAACGCCTGAGTAGGTGTAGCCTGACTCTCAGCCCGCCGTTCTGGCTCCTGAGTCAGCACGGCCTGACTCTGAGTCCACCGACCTGACTCCGAGTCAGCACGGCCTGACTCTAAGTTCACCGACCTGACTCTGAGTCGGCTGGCTGGCGGTCGCGCGCATGCCCGGCCCTCCGCGCCGCCGGCGGCCTCCACAGGTGGTGAGCCAGACCCGACCCGAGCCGCCACGGCAGCCGTGCCGCACCGGCCAGGGGCGGTGTCTGACGCCTAGCAGCGCTCCACTGAACAGGCACGGCTCGACCCCCGGCAGCGCTCCACCGGACAGGCCCGGCTCGACCCCGGCAGCGCTCCACCGAACAGGCCAGGCTCGACCCCCGGCAGCGCTCCACCGGACAGGCCAGGCTCGACCCCCGGCAGCGCTCCATCGGACGGGCCCGGCTCGACCCCCGACAGCGCTCCATCGGACAGGCACGGCTCGACCCCCGGCAGCGCTCCACCGGACAGGCACGGCTCGACCCCCGGCAGCGCTCCACCGGACAGGCCAGGCTCGACCCCCGGCAGTGCTCCACCGGATAGGCACGGCCTCAGACGCCCGGCAGCGCCCCACCGAACAGGCACGACTCGATCCCCGGCAGCGCTCCATCGAACAGGCACGGCTCGACCCCCGGCAGCGCTCCACCGAACAGGCACGGCTCGACCCCCGGCAGCGCTCCATCGGACAGGCACGGTGTCCGACGCCCGGCACGCAGACGGCAGATGAATATTTTTTACAGCATCCGGGACGTTTCCGATTTGTTAATAACGACGTCCAGACCCATGCACGTATCGGAAAAATTATTATCGCAAATTATCGTTCAGCAAAATGAAGCCATGCATGACCAATGAGGCCTTGGCGGGGAGGGTCGGGAAAATGACAGTGTTGGCTGAGTCGGGAAAATGCTAGTGAACGGATGGGTGCTCGCCGAGTATATGCACCATGCCGCATGCTTTTATGGGAGAAATGTCCCGAGATACGCTGGTTCTCATCAATACCGATCACGTTAAGAAATGCCCAAGTCGTCTTTTTCGTGGCATTGGAAACGTCATGCAAGCACACAAATATCTCATTAGACAGCGCTTGCATTGCTGAGTGGGGTTTAAAGGCGCCCAGACAGCTGGAGTTATTCAGCGTGGGATCCTGACAACGCAGGAGGAGTGGGGAGGGAGGCGGCAGCGTGCCCGGAAGAGGAGCCCGCGCTTCGTTCTGGGGCCTTGGACCGCACCGGGTACGGGCTCGTTGGGCTCGCTCTCGAAACGAGAAGCACAAACGTCAACCCTCAGCTGCATGACCATGGCTACCCGCCACAGGTGCACTGCAATATACCACTTTACATACGACGACTAGGCCTCCACTGTTTTCATCATCATCATCATCATCAGCAGCAGCAGCAGCAGCAGCAGCAGCAGCAACAGCAGCAGCAGCATCCTCGTCGTCGTTACCATCATCATCACCATCGTTATCGTCATCATCATCAGCAGCAGCACGACATGCCGCACAATCATACCGTTTCCCCGAGCGACCACTCCCAGAAAGATACAGTGAACCGTTCTGTCTCGAGCGTAGTTCGCAATGGCGGCGATTAAATCGCGCGGAATACCGCCGGCAATGCCTGAGTGGACCTCAATCCCTAAATCAGCGACATTGTTACAGCCCGACGGCAAATCGTGCGCGCTGTGGGAAGGAACACCCCTTCTGCGGCGCGGCCACGTCCGCGGCGCGGCGTGTCAAAGACGGCGGGGCGTGGCCGCGCCGCAGTGTCCCAGCTTCCGTGGCTGGACAGGAGCGACGGCGACCGAGACGTGGCAGGCAGAGCGCTTATACGGAGACACGTACCAGTATGACTAGTTTGCAGGCACTGGATCAAACGCCGTGGTTAAATTGCCTGCATTCTGTCAGGCTTGCCCCAGCGCTCCATATCAAAAGAATCAGGGCCTTGAAGAACACTGTTATTGTCTAAGGCACAACAATGAGACGGTCTCAAATAAGAAAGAAGTATTATTCTGCACTTCCAGGTAGCTGTCTGCCTTCCTTAACTACATTTTCTGTATCGTGCCTGGTTCATTGCTATTCTCATTTTGAAGAGGCGCGGCAAAGTTTGGTTCATTTAAATTCATGACCATCTCCTTTAAGGTCATCGATGCGTGTCTGCTGTATATGAAGCAAGCCCACGCCAAATCGGCATCGGCCCGAGATTGATGCGCTACCACTAGAGCTGCAAGATTTGCGTACCACTTTCGTCGGAACCACATTTTCATCTTCAATGAAACCAACGAACTCCGGCAGCAGTGTCGAAACCAACCAGACGTAGTCAGGATTAAGCCTGCACTGGTACATGAATGCTGGTGCTGGAGTGGAACCAGCACCATTTTTCGGGATTTTTCGCATCGCTTATTCCCCGAGTGCAGGATGTACGCGCCCTGTACACTTCGGATCCAAAACGCAACAACCTTCAGGTGGGCCGCGAGCAAACGCCCCCCCCCCCCCCCCGTCCCTGCCGGGCTACGAGATGCCGAGAGGGCCCCACAGAGCCACGCTCAGAGCACGTCTCCCCTCCCTGGCTGTTCTCCACCCTTCCTGCCTGCTCCGACACACCCCGCCGCCGACGTAGGGACCCGGCTAGGGGATGATGCAGGGTCGGAGAGGGGAGGTGTTCCTCCCGGTACTTTTCAGACGATAGACGGAGGGAATGGACTTATGATACCCCGCACCCCAAAATCGGCAGCCGGTATGACGCCCCTGAGCTAAAAGTGATCGTGATGAGAGGGGTCGGCGCAAAATGCGGATCAGATGGTCAGAAGAGCGGTCGAAGGGGTGGAATATCCCGACTCATTCGCTCGTTATTAATATATCTGCTACAGCTGCTATTATTCATATATTAGTATATAAGAATATATTAGAATAGTTACTCGACTGCGTCCATTCAGAAACGGCGCCTCGACAAGGAGCCGCACAGCCTTTGTGTGCCTTTGCGCCGATTTGGGCTTATAATTTATCCGAGGGGAGCGAGATGCTGCCAGAGCATAGGGCCTCAGCGCCGCCCGTGTGCGGCTCCGCGCTTCGGCCGCGGGCGGTGGACCGGAGTTTTCCACCCGATTCAACTCGACTGCACCCCCGGCCGAGCTCCCACCAACACAAACCCGCCGCAAACTTGAGCAGAAACTTCCCCGAAACTTGGAGCAGACAGCCGTGCTCGCTTTGTGAAGCGCACAACGGCGCATGGCAGGAGCGTCTTCCCGGCTCTCTGAAGGTCAGCCAAGGTCATCAGGCGCACAGACGGACAGCTGGCGGCTGGTAGGAGAGGCTGTTTGTTACGTGACGTCACGCTGGCGTTCAGACCTCTTCGCCGTCACCACCGGTTGGAATGTGCGCTCCCCACCCAGAACTCCCCCACCACCGGAAAGGGGGGACCCCCCTCCCCCACGCGCACCGCCTCCTTGTAACCGTGATGCGGTGATTCTCTGACCCAAACAGGCCCGTGGGATGCATTATGAGACGCCCGGGACCACTCGATGAGTTGCCGGCCCGTAGTCTATGGTGCACGTCAGGCCAATCCAGCCATGCAATACGACGGCGTAAATCGAATGCGACGAGCAATGACACAAATGATATCGTGGTAGCGGCCATAATGTTCTCGTGATTGATGCACTATTGTAATAGTATCAAAATACCGCAATGTCATGCCATGAAAGCCTCGTACATCCTTTGTCCCCTGATCAGGCGCCTGTATGGGTTAGGCTTGGAGCCCTGTCGGTCAGCAATGACCTTGCAGGGTTATGGGATGAAGGCTGGTGGATACCGGTAGAACAAAACTCCATGCACCTGGGGTCCACCTGCCCATACCTTGCCCAAGCAGGAGCCACTATACGGACTGTGTCCGGCGCTCCGACAGCCCCCCCCCCCCCCCCCGCCCACCTTCAGGGGCACTTAAGGGAGTGCTTTACATTTACATGGGATTTTGAGCTGAAATAGCCCTCTTGAAGACCATTCGGCGCAGTTCACATTCCTGTCCTTCTCAGTCTCTTCTTTCTAAGCTACATGCCCGTGAAGGATGCGCAGACTATTTTGGGGTCTATTTCAAGGTTACCCTGGCATTCACGACGCCATAAAACGCCATTCAAACCCTGCGATTACATTAGTTATGTGGCGATCAAGGCCAAGAAAAATATGATTGTCGAGTCGTTCATATCTGGCGTTTGTAAGCACTGATTTCCAGATATTACGGGCATCAGTTGGCTCTTAATCAATGTTGTGCAAGGTACGATGACGTAATCGAAGAGTGGCATATTGGGGAGCACATTTACTAAACAGAACAATTATGTTGTCTAGTGCAGCCTTTCTTAAAAGTATACCAATAGTTTTAAGTGAGCTTATTTCATACTTGGTGCTTGTTTCAATATTTGCACATGCGTAGCATCCCGTTTAATTGCTAATGGCTGCTGCATGTACCAATGGTCCTCGGGCATACATCCTCGGACATACGGGACGTCCGAGGATGCAGGGGTAAGGCTAGAATGGGGAAAGAGAGGCGGACGTTGCATTACATCCGAGCCACGCTGTACAGGCACGTACATGGCCTCGGCGCAAACTTGACGCGACGAACACTTTGCCTCGGAACACAGAAAACATGACAAATCTGTGTCGAGACACAGCAGCCGTCTGGTTACTAAGCGGAATGGTCGACTCGCGCACCATCTCCCGGCGCTACTTACCTGGCAGGTTGAGGCGGCCGGCGATAGATGTCAGCACGGTCGCTTGGCTGGTGCAGGGTTCGGGCTCGCGCTGCCTGGCCTTGGCGATGCCCACAAGCTTTCCACTGGGCGCTGGGGAAAAACAAAAACACGGACAGCTCAGCTGCGGCTAACTTAGCTACGGGTACGCTCCGTCGATCCGATGAGCAATATCACACCATCCATCGTCCCACATATAGACCCCACCAGCACACCATCCACCATCCACCGTCTGTATAGGCTCCATCACATCACACTACCGCAGGCGTAAGAAGCCGGCGGTGCGTGGAAGTGTCTTTTGCGAAGATTTGACCTTAGTCCATATGGCGATGCATGAAAAACATGCACTGCAAAATCGGTTGTGGGCAGTGCTTTGTACTGAATTGTCTCTTCCCCTTGATACTTAAGCTCAGCGTGCTGTTTCCACATACTAACATCAAACTGATCCGTACATCGGCACATAGCTGTCTCCATTCATTTGGTTGGCAAACGTCGTTCGACTGCGATTACATATGTATGGTCTTCATGCAATTCACCGCTTTACATGAGGACCACTGGGTCCGGAGTGACCGCCAGCTTTTCAGCTGTTGGCTGTGCCACAAACCCACCACCCCAGAACGGCAGTCAGGTCTTTCTTTTTATTTTATTTTACGCGCGCTTAACTCCAGTGGTCGCTTTGCGCCAGTCACTGTGTCAAGCGATAGCTATACGTCTAGCCATCTGTGGTTCACGCCCTCAGCGCGCGGCTTTATCATGTCGGAGGTAGGCTCCACATAGTGTTAACTGTGTCAAATGATAGTTACACGTCTAGCCATCTGTGGTTCACGCCCTCAGCGCGCGGCTTTATCATGCCGGAGGTAGGCTCCACATAGTGCAAATAACACAGGGTCAAGAACTATTAAACAGGTGAGCATGTGACTCTAAAACCGACGTCATCCATAAACGTTTCAACAGCCTTGACGCCTACGATAAGTTTCTCACCAATGGGGAAACGCGGCGACAACCTGGACCGTGAGCTGCAGCTAAAGTACGACGCTAAAGTACGTGAGCTGCAGCTAAAGTACTGTTGACGCTCAACAGCAAACTGGAGACGCTGAACCAGCGCGTGGGTAACTGACGGTGGGTGGTAGCAACGCGAACACGCGGGGGCGTGACCTCCTGATGGGAGAAAACTGTGTGTTTCGTACGTATGGCCGACACGAAGACGACAGAGAAGGACCTCTCCTCGTCCGCTGCCCCGGCGAGAAGTCGCCCACTCGCCCACCTTCTCTTTGACGGCACGGAGTTTATTTGATGGTGTGACACAGCGAGACGCCCCGGTCGAGCTGATCGCTGCGCGGCATTGGTTGACACCAGCCAAAAGCATTGTATCACCGCGACCATTAAACGAACCTAACGCGGCGATATCCGCAGACGTATGGAGCATTTGCATGTTTATCTCACCCGCGTTAGTTAATTCTAGGGTCGATTCCATCCACCTGCAGCGTGTAACCACGCTGACGTCACACGGTGTTTTATACAGCAATCGATAGCCCGTATAACAACTATTAGCTCGTCTTCATCGGTACCAGAGATGACTTTCATTGAAGGTTTTAGCTCTCCTGTATCGGTTTGGTTTTTCCCTCAAGGAAGCCTCCTCAATGTCAAAAAAGAACTGCGTTATGTTCATCGTTAACTTGCACTCAAAGTCCTCAAAACCCGCTTGTCCACACACCACGCCCACACCACCACTCAAATTGTGAACGAAATTAAACAACTGATAAAGCTTATCACACGACTGAATGCGCGTCGACCCTCCAGCCGGCTACACAGGAGGCGGTCCTCTGTCCGAAGACGCTCATCCCACTGTTGTGCTCCGAGAACGCTCATCCCACTGTTGTCGCGCTCCAATCACCCGCCATCGGCGGTCTGCGTCAGGGAGACGCGCTACGAGCACGCGGCTAGGTCGCAGGCCCGGAGCCAGGACTTCACACACCACGAGACCAAACCATCGGCCGGAGACCACGACCCATTCACAGCCCGCGCGACAAAACACCAGCACTCTGTGTCCTCCGCCGGTTCTTCCGCCACCAGGGGAACACTCGCCCCCCTCCCCCTCCCAAACCGCGGGGCTGCGCGCGCCCGTGCCAGGCGTCTGACCCCGGCGCGCGCGCGCGCTCCGGTAGGAGGTGCGTCCGGTGCGCGGTGGTGCGCCGCCGCCGGTCCGTGTGGCCCAGTGAGCCGCCATGGCCCCGGCCGTGACTCAGCAGCGGATTCAAACAGCGGCCGTCCGGCCGTCCGGCCGTCCAGCCGGCCGCCGCCGCCGCCGCCGCCTGCACCCCGGCAGGCTGCAGCGTCGCGACATCGGTGCTACGGCAAACCACCGGCAGCAGTGCTACCAAATCAGTTAAACGCGACATTACCCCTCGTGCAAAAACATTAAACAGGCTTTACTTATGCGCGATGTTTACTCCAACTGCAAGTTTACTTCGCCATGACTATCACGCAACAAAATATATGCTTCAAAAACTGATACGCGTCATGACATCGACTGCAAACACTTGCAGTCTTTTTTATACGCAACATTACTTCTGTTTATCTTATGCACGAAATGAGCGCCAGCGATAAAAATTCCACTGCAAAACCTTATGCTTCTCATTACCTAAACAGCAAAGACTTATGCAGTCTTCACATGTGGTTGACCTTATTTCAAATTAGAAGTGCGTTTTGTGAGTCTCATGAGTTTTCGCAATAATGCAAAAACGTATACACATCAGTACTACACGACAAAATTATACTGCAAAAACATATACCAGTCATTATTTATTCGGCAAAGACTTGACCACAAGTCGTTGCTGTAGGACTAAAATCGTGTATAAGCCTTTGCAAAAGAAGTAATACAGTGCATAAGCGATGGTTGTAAAAGTGTTTGTAGACGAGATTATGACTGATATAAGTTTCTGAAGCATAGCCTGTGTCGTGGAACATTACTGCCGTGTCAAAGTCTTTGCAGTGGAATTGAGTCGTGTTTAAGTAATGACTGTATCTTGGAATCTATCTCGGTGTCTGTCTCGGGGTCTGTCTCGGTGTCTATCTCGGGGTCTGTCTCATGGTCTGTGTCGGGGTCTGTCTCAGGGTCTGTCTCGAGGTCTGTCTCAGGGTCTGCGTTGGGGTCTACCTCGGCGTCTGTCCCCGGGTCTGTCTCGGGATCTGTGTCGGGGTCCGTCTCGGAAGCTGCATCGGGGTCTGTCTCGGGGTCTGCGCTGGGGTCTGTCTCGAAGTCTGTCTCGGCGTCCTGCATCGAGATCTATGTCGGGGTAGGTGTCGGCGTATGTGTGGGAGGTCTGTGTCATGACCTCTGACAGGTCTCAGTCGGGGTTCGTCGGCGTTTCTTGCCGGGTTTTGTCGGGGCCGGTGTCAGACTGCGTTGGGAACTGTGTCGAAGTCCGCACCACGGTTTTCCCGTGGCCTGTGTCGGCGCCCGTGTCCGGCATGTGTCAGACTTAGTCCGATCCGTGTCGGGCTCTTGTCGATGCTTGTGTTGGGGTCTGCTTCAGTGATGGATCTGAGACAAGGTCCGTGTCTGCCGGGATCTGCTCGGCCTTGCTTCGGTGTTCATCTCTGCCTGGGGGCCATGCACGGGTCTGTGCCTGTTGGTGGGTTCCGTGTTCGGGTCTGCCCAGAGCCTGTGCCAGAGGTCGTGTATCGAGTCTGTAGTTCAGCATCGTGACCGAGGCGGGCGTTGGTGTCAGGGCGTTTTTGTGTCAGGGTCTACGTCAGGGATCTCATGCTATGTCCCGAGTCCGATCTAGATCACAGCCAGCATCAAAACCTTCTTCAAATGTCTGTGCCTGCCGTGCGCATGTCACGCTCGACTCATGACCTGTGTCCGTGTCACGCTCGACTCATGACCTGTGTCCGTGTCACGCTCGACCCATGACCTGTGTCCGTGTCAGCGCCTATGTTGGGGTCAGCGCTGGGATCCGTTCGGTTAGCACTGGGCTAGGATCTGTTCCCGTCGGCCCCAGTCCCGCCGCCACCGCCGACATGGCACCGCCGAGCCTCTGTCTGCGCAGTGCTGCCGCGCTCTTCCAGTCCTGCCACCCTCCCACAGCGCTGGAGCTGCCCTGCACTGTGCGGCCCCAGCTTCCGCAGTCGCGTTGACGCACCGCGTGCAGTCGGCTGGATAAACTGCGTGCCCAAACGCGCCGCTATGGGCGCGGGGGTCCGCTATGGGTCCGGGGGCCCGCTAAGCGAGCTGACAGAGCGGCGACTCACAAGAGTCGCCAGAGTCACCCACGCAAGTCACCCCGGTCACTCGCATGGGCCACCCAGGTCACTCAAAAACGCCACTCAAGTTGCCAATACAAGTCGCGCACGTTAATCACGTAGGTCACCCACAGAGATCAGCCGAGTTACCCGTACAAGTCACCCAGATCACTCACGCAATCACTCCAGTCACTCACAAAGGTCACCCGAGTCACTAAAAAAGTACCTTGAGTAACTAAAAAAGTCCCTCGAGTCACTCCCAAAAGAACCCCGCTCGCCGCCATCATCTGCTGACGCCCTGCGCACGTCGCTGCCGCCCAAATCTCGGTCAGCACTAGCGCCTCACCAGCTGGCCGCGGAGGTGGACGTGACGCCGGCCAATACTACTGAAAACGTGAGCGGCGGCTCGTGGGGCGCGCCTGTAATCGGCTCGGCATGCGGCGCTCTGCAGACGCCGTCCATGACTTGGGCTGCACAGCACCCGACCGCCAGCAGGGCGTCACCTCCGCGTGCTGACCCGGCCGCCAGCAGGGCGTCACCCCCGCGTGCTGACCCGACCGCCAGCAGGGCGTCACCCCCGCATGCTGACCCGGCCGCCAGCAGGGCGTCACCCCCGCGTGCTGACCCGGCCGCCAGCAGGGCGTCACCCCCGCGTGCTGACCCGGCCGTTAGCGGGCGCGGCGCGCTTCCCCGAACACTGCGCTTCCCGTTGAGCGGCGCTCGTCTTCCGTATGTGCCGGCCGGCGGCGGGGTGGGCAGACTCCCATCGCCGGTGGGCCAAGGCGGCGCAGTCGGAGCGGGGGGCAGTGGCGTGCGCCGGGCGATGCATCCCAGTAGCAGCGATCCCTGAACGTTCACTTGCTGATGTTATGAGCTGTTCAGTGCCCCGGCTTCCCGCAAACATTCTGCTGCAGTATCCACCTGCGGCCTACAGCGCCTGCTCACCACCTGCAGTATCCACCTGCGGCCTACAGCGCCTGCTCACCACCTGCAGTATCCACCTGCGGCCTACAGTGCCTGCTCACTACCTGCAGTATCCACCTGCGGCCTACAGTGCCCGCTCACCACCATGCAGTTGAGTGTCAATCCTGCGATGTCAGCTTTGTGACTAGATCTCATCCCACCGCATCATCATCGCATAGCCGAGCCATCGAAACTCGTCAAATACAAATGTTGTGAATTCAGGGTTTTTAAAATGTTACAGTTAAAGTTAAAATGAGATTCTGGTTCTATGGGTGTCATGCATTCAACATCTCCCACTGTATGACCTCACTGCGCATTCGATATCCTGCTGACATAGCGTATGTCAGCCTAGCAGTATCTGTCGTAGCGGCACCAACTGCGGTTGGTGCGCATCAGCCACAACATCGCACAGCAGATTCTCCCAACAGATGGCAGCACAACATTGTAGGGCAGATACTCCCGGCAGATGGCGCTGATAACGGGCCTCGACCCGGGTATACTGCAAGCGGCATGCGTGCGCGCCCGTATACAGTGTACACTGCACGCATTCGGCACGCCTGAAGCGTCCGCCGTGGGTCGTCAGAAGCCATCAGGTGATCGTGGTGTAGCGTCCCCACCCGGCCGGGCAACGCACGGTGCTCAACGTGGTTTTTGTGTTGACGCATGGTTTTTGCCCGTGTAATTTGTCTGATTGATGAGCAAATGATGATGACGATGGGGCAACCTCGTGGAGATGATTACATATCGCCCGCTTCGTTGTTAATTTTGGTTGCGTCAACTTTGGGAACTGGAGTTTCAATGATTATATGAATATCGTCACGTTCGACGATTCCCCGAGTGTCTATGCCGCTATGCCTCACTTGTCTCCGTTTCCAGAGAGCTTGACGGTCCCTTGCCAGTCTCCATGAGCGGGCTACACTGGTTCTCATGTGTCCTTTCATATTTGACCTCCTATATTATACTATGATTGTTCAAAGCTGTCGTGTGGAATTTATTTTGTGTTGTTACGTGATGTATTCACTTAGGGCGAGCAAACACCAAGAGCTAATATAATAAAACTTAATGAGATAACATCATATAAGAGCAAAAAGCATATAAGTTTGTTCGTGAATAAGGAATACGACATTGCGGTGATTGTGACGCACTTGAAGCCGAGTCTGCGCCCATCCACAGCGGAGCAAACTGAGCAGACTTCACATGACTTGAAACATCCAATATCTTTCACTCTGTCGGTGCGAAGCCTTCAGTTCACAGCTTTGAAAGTTTGTTTGATCTTTTCAGGAGTTCTTGGGAAAAAAAATAAGCAAATCGGAAACTCATCACACTATGGGAAGATGGCCAGCAGTTTACTGAGATAAGATGGAAAGATGATTCCTGGTCCATTTTGGTGAGATCCTGTTTAAAATAGTATGCTGTTCCTCCTCGTTTCAAGTTTGAAACTGAATCACAGCACCTAATACTTTCTTTGATACAATACAAATTTCACGGTCCTGGTACTTTTGTTATTGCTGTCTTACCAACATCATTGGCGCTAGCTAACCAATACTGTGCATTAGATGAAACTGACGTAATATCTAAGCACACGTTATATGCATGTCTAAAATTGAGGCAAAACTGACAAAATACAAATTGTAATTCACCTAGTACTTGCGGGCTGCTGTCAGTCAGCATTGTAGCACAGCGGGCTTTTGCAGGTTGGATTCCAAGCCAGCCGAGGCGGGCTCGGCTGCCGGCTGACATTTTAGAAAAAGTTAGGCTGCTAGTGGAAACCAAAGGGCACGTTTTCGAGAAGAAAAAACTTCAAGTCTTTGCTGTTCTGATCCCTTTCATGAAACCCTGTGGGTGGAAAGGAGCTGTACAGTGGTGCAGCAGCGCCAGCCCAGCAGCCCCGAGGCTGGAACTCAGCTCACCTGTGGCGGGCAGCACGGCGCGGGAGCCGGCCTGAGCCGCCCCGGGCCGGCCCGGCTCGGCCGGCGCCGGCTCGCCGCCGGCCGGCGCCGCCGCGAACGGGCTCAGTCCGCTGATGGAGATCATCCGCTCCGGCGTGACGTCACGGTCGGCCGGCTGGGTGACGTCACTGGAGGGGCACGGCCGCCGCCGCCGCCGCCTGCAAGTGGGGCGGGTCAGCACGGGACGGGAGGGGGCGGGGCGTCCCCGCACCTGATAGAACATTGGCAGCTGCCTTCCCACGGCAAAGCGCGAAAAGAACTGGTTTTGAAATATGTGGTCAATTCGCATACGTTTATGCCTTAATGGCGCGCTATCGATGAGGGAGGAACAGAAACAACCCGCAGCGATTGGGCTTGGTTATTTGAAAGAAATTGCGCTGTCAGTGTACAGAAATTATCCGCAGGCGCCTCGTTCCGTAAGTCCAAACTGCCGCATCGTCGGCGATTTATGCTTATAAACTGAACGCCGGAGGCAGGTACAGGACATTATAGGCAATAACACGTTCGCCTCACTCCGGCTTGTCAATGCAGGCCAGGTCACATCAGGACGAAAGGAAAACGGCACACGCGCCTAACACCCGACCATCTGGGCACTGCGGCGTAAGAAATCGCTTAGCTCCTCCCGCCTTTGTACGCAGAACGGCGCCAGCTCGATGCTGTGCGGCCGTCATCTGTCAGCCGACGCCATACGAAAGCGGCACTTCTGCTCCGGAAATTTCGGCCCAACCCGACCCGTGTAGGTTAAGCGTCACGTTTGACTGCAAGTACTTTCAGAGAGCGCCAAAGACCAGTCTAGCCTGGATCGAACCCAGAGATAATGCGCACTGAACGTGGTGCGATAAAATGACGCGCATGACATCATTTCTTCCGCAAAGTGGTGTGGCCTTACAAGTCATAGCCTGAGTGATGCACGGTTCGCACCTTGAAATAAAGGAGAAATATATATCTAAACGAGGGGAAGTCCCTGATATTTCGCAACGGCCATCGCTATAGCATCAAACGAATACCAACAGGGTTCCCCGACCTTACCTATAATGTCCAGATCGGTAAGAACCTGAAGAGCTCTACCGAGCAACGTCAAACGGCCAAGTCGAAGAACGCTGAGGTAACTACAAGCCACGAGCTCAGAAGAACGCTGAAATGACTACAACCACGAGCTCAGAAGAACGCTGAAATGACTACAACCACGAGCTCAGAAGCGCCTCTCCCAATGGATTTAAACGTGCAGCAGCAAAAGGGCATTCTGCGGAGGGCTGGGCCCGCCCGCGGTACCAGCGCTGATGCCGGCGCCGATCCCGGGCGGTGGGCGGTTTTGTTACAGGCATGCCTGGCGCCCGCAAATATAAGCACTGGTCACTCAGATAACGGCCAATCAAGGGCTCACCGGAAATACCGCAAATGATAGCGTGGCACGATCACAAGTGTCTGGCATGGGTGCGAGTTAATCCTGCATTGTTTGCGGACGGCCTGGCGTGTGTAACGATCCGGGGCCGTCCGAACGAGGCAAGATGGAGCCGTCCGAGCCGCCCAACCCTGCACCTTCGTGGATCGACTGCTATGAACCGTCTAGCCCATCGCTCCGCAGCGTCAGACTGGGGGCCTGCCCAAAAGGTTTGTGGACAGACTTCTGAAATCGATTCCGAAGAGCAGCCATACTCTGAATGAGCCGAATGTGTTAACAATGGCTGTGGGGTACCGGGTCCCATCCCATTATGAAGACGTCCTCGACTTAAGATAGCCGCGTGAAGAACCACCCTCCCGCTAGGACCATCGCAGGCATGTTGGAGCGCTAACAGCGTAAAACAATAGACAAAATAAACATCTGTATGCTTTGGTATCCATCCCGAACAAAAACTTCCCACTGGATTTTGGTTCATCCGACCCACTTAGCTTATCGCCGGACCTACCCATCCATGTCAGGATGTTTTGAACTTCTGGATAGCACCATGCGTGCAATTTAAGTGGAAATCAAATGCTGAAACAAAATGTGCAACCATTTCTTCCTCGCGAATGCAGAAAATATACGCAATTTTACGCCCGTATTAAGTTCAGTCTCTTTGCATTACAAAAATAGGCAGAGCGACAGCGGAGGTAATGCACCCATTTGCTTTGCAACCATGCAAAGATAAGATAGAGAGGACAGCAGTAAAAAAAAATAAAAAAAGGTCATGCCACTCACTGGCTAAAAGCCACTAATGCGTCCAGTCGAGGTGCGCTCTTGCAAAGAATGCGAGAACAATGGGATTAGCTCCTACAATGACGACAAACGAAAAAATACAAGTGAATCAAAGTTCCTTTTGAACAACACTTCGCCAATTTTCCATTCCCTCATGCAACATGTTTTTGTGTTGCTGAAAAAGACAGAGCCTGTGGCTTCACCAGGGCTGCCGGAGTACAAACCATATGAGCACAGGACCCAAGTCCTTTGAAGTTGTCCTAGCTTCAACATAATACCAGAATAATCACACCAAATCAATGAGATAGTCATAGTGTCATAGTATGCAACATCTATGGCATAAGTGTCGTGAATACGCAACAGCGTTGACACATTCCTATGAAGCAAATAATCGACGCAGTACTGAGAGAACATTTAATAAAGACGAAGGCACAGCATTGGCGGAAACCAAAATACAAGGGGCCTAGTTTCTTGATGCTAAAAAGGCATTAATCAAGTAGTGCTGAAAAACGTAAGCACACACGAACGCAGCACGTTTATTTGTGTCTGATGCTTATTCCAACCAATCAATTAACCATTCATAACCAAGACATTTCGCTTCGTATTTAAAAAATATATTGCTCCCCTGGATTTTCACAACAGCGGGCTGTTGGCAATAAGTTCACTTTTCATTTGATCGATGGCAAGCATTCCGAATGGTTGGCGTTCGAAACGCACAAAGCTCGGTGACGGCATTCACCCGAACCCAGCCTAGAACACCGCTCGACGGTTCCGACCGCTTAGACGCTTGTCGCGCGCCGCGTAAACGCCGGGCGCGTCGCACCTCCGCCGACAGAGCCGTCACTAACCTGTACCACTCCTGGCACCGGCCCCATGTCTGGTTCAGCGGCCGCGTTCGGCAGCAGCCCGCTGGTTCAACAGTCGCTCCACAGATGTCACTGTACCCAGCAGGTTCGGAAACGTCTCCAGAGATGTCACCGCCCGTCGACCGCTCCTCACTCAGGCGGTCGCTGCAGACTGAATCTGTGAGAGAGAATCGGACTCCGTGAGCCATGCATCATCGAGCTTGAAATGTTGAACTTGATGCGCCGGGGCGATGAAACGGATTCGGCTTGATGGCCATGCAGTCCCGAATAGGGATACGATGGGCCAAACCATACAGAACACGTCTACACAGCTAAACATTAAACCCACGTTAACTATTTAATGAAAAAAAAACGAGAGGGAAAAACTGTTGATGGCAAAAATGCCAGCTGCCGGGAAGTTCCCGCACTTGAGGCGTAGGTTCACGCGGTGGAAACTACAGCGAGCTCAACCACCGGCGAGCTCCTAACCCGGGGTCCGACCGCAGAGGCCTCTGGCCGTCGAAGATGGATAGCCACTGGGTATTGTCCAAGGAGCAGCACCCAGCGTCGAACGAAGAGGACACAGAAAGATCCAGAGAAGAGAGAGAGAGTGAGAGAGAGAGAGAGGGAGGGAGAGAGAGAGAGAGAGAGAGAGAGAGAGGAGAGAGAGAGAGAGAGAGAGAGAGAGAGAGAGAGAGAGAGAGAGAGAGAGAGAGAGAGAGAGAGAGAGAGAGAGAGAGAGAGAGAGAGAGAGGAGAGAGAGAGAGAGAGAGAGAGAGATAGAAGAGAGAGAGAGAGAGAGAGAGAGAGATAGAGAGAGAGAGAGAGAGAGAGAGAGTAGAGAGAGAGAAGAGAGGAGAGAGAGAGAGAGAGAGAGAGAGAGACGAGAGAAGAGGAGAGGAGAGAGATGAGAGAGGAGAGAGAGAGAGAGAGAGAGAGAGAGAGGAGAGAGACCACCAGTTGCCCCCTTGTGCTGACGTTGATAACTGTGTCCATAGTACGGGCGCTCTCTCTATCCTTTTCTCCCTCCCTCAAATAATCGGTTTAATACTTAATACTTAATGTTTTAACTTTTCAACTCTAATGCCTAATGTTTTGACAGGATGCAGAACTATGCTGCTAATAAAGACCCACCCTGACGCGATCTCCTGGCTCCACGTGCGGGACACGCAAGGAGCGAGCAGTGAGTGAGCGGCACTCTCATCCCTGACGCGATCTCCTGGCTCCACGCGACGGGACACGTAAGGAGCGAGCAGTGAGAGGCACTCCCAACCCTGACGCGATCTTCTGGCTCCACGTGCGGGATACGTAAGGACCGAGCAGTGAGTGAGCGGCACTCCCTATGACAGAAATTTTTGCGGCGCCTCACCAACGGAACAGTGTTAAACTTTAACGGGTGTTGGCTGGGCCACAGTCGAGTCTGTGCTGGCCCCCCCCCCCCCCCCCAGTCCTGCTCCTCCAATGGCAGGCGTCAGGCCCCGCGTGACGCCAGCCGACAAGGAGGCGAAGTCAGGCTGGGTGCAGCGTCGGCGGAATCATCCAAATGTGTTAAGAATAATCTCTCGATCATTAGCATTTCACACGACGTATGTCAAGAGCGAAAGTTCAAGCTAAGGACGCAACCTTCCAGCCGGAAGCCCGCCACATCTGACTCGGAAGGAGCCCGCGGGCCTTTGCCCGGGCCGTGGGCAGGCATTGGCGGGCTTTGGTGGGTTAAAATCTGAATAAGGAAAATTATGCATTTTTTAGTACCAATGTTATTAAAAATCACACTAATAGTTAACCTTCCAAAAATCAGGGTGCACTGCCACACATTGACTGTGAATCTTATTATGACACTAACGCAGCTTTATTTTTTAGCAAGAGGCCAAGTAAAAAAAAAACACGTGATAGGCGTGACACACCAGTAAGCCTGGTGGAAAGAATGATCAATGTCATGCAAACATGTCACTGAAAAAGTCAAGAACAAATACCCAAATTTTAAAAGCTCGGCCTGATTTCACTGCGCAGTAGTCAGGTGGGTCATTTGTATGACTGCATCCGCATGTTGCGCTTGGCCCTTGCTGTGGGGGCGGGGTGCCCTCGATTTGTCTCGTGTCATACACAGGCCATAACTCGGGATCAATATCAATCATTAATGAAATAACCGGAAAACTGCGTGACTTTGATTGTCCCAGTCACGTGCACTGACCAATATCACCCACAGCTACAGTTGCATTGCGTGCGCAATAGTTGCCGAAATATGAACACTGGGAATAAGATCCCATCAATGCCTGTACTTTTTTCTTACATACAAGAGTAGACAAGTTACGACCGCGATACCGGGGGCTCTAACGTGCGATGCGTTTCCCCCTGGTTGCGATCGTCATCAATTTTCGACGAATTTGTCTCAGACAGGCGTTTGCTCTGCTTCTTGTGCCATCTCTTCCGATACCTATGCACAGGGCCGCGTAAAACATTCCAGTCGAGCCATTACGATGTCATTCAAGCGTTCGATATAGGTTCAAGAGTCACTCCACGGGTCATATCTCGCAACATTGATGTGACATTGCTCAAAGTCATTCATGCGTCATTTGCTGTAACTTGGGAGCACAGACATCATTCTTGGACAAAATTGATTGTTGTCTTTGCGCACAGCATCGCAAACGGCACGCTGCCTCCGGTTTTGAAAGAAAACATGGATAATAGTGGTAAGAGGGAATGTGGAGCACGGTCGGGTTGTCGCGCAGCATAGAGAACGCCTTGTTGCATGTTGCGCCTACTTAAGGGCAGCATACACCATTTACATCCTGAATTTCCTTCTTGAATCCGGGTTATGGCATTGCGGACATTGTGACACATTCGCCTGTTGTGAAGCAGGCAGAATGAGAATGTCGAATTTAGTGTTGCATTAAGGATGCCTCCACTTTTCCAGGACCACAAATGATTCGCGTTCGTGTACATTACAATGAGCTGAGGAGACTTTCCACGACATCAAATATCCAGGATTTTTTTTACTTCTTGTCAGTGCAAAATCGCAAGCTGATGCACGCAATGTGAGAAGTCATAGCCTATGGTATAACCTGAGATGAGGTGCAAAGGTGAAATTTCGGGCACATTTTGGTGAGAGCTCATTTTCAATTCTGCTGTTTTCCTTCTCATGTTTAGGTTGTAATTAACATTCCAGTGTTTCAGATGCAATCTGAGCTTATAGAAATGCTATAGTCCAGGTGATTTTATTGCTCCTGTCTCAGTTCCACCATTGATACTAGGCAAATCATAGCGTGCATTAGATGGCACTGATATGACATGGTTCATGCGCATGTTGTGTCAAGTTCTAAAATTAAGACCATATTACCAAACACAGGTTGCATTTAATTGGATGTGTGCAGGTTAATGCTTGGTCTGCATGGCAGCACAGCGGGCTTTTGCGGGCTAGATCCCAAACATCAAAACACTACTCAAATGGGCGTCACAACAATAATCAGCAGGCGGGCTACGTGTGGGACAGTCACTCGAACCCACTCGAGCATGGCGTTCAGATCAGCACCAGGTCAGCGACTACATGGCGTTCAGATCAGCACCAGGTCAGCGACAGTCGGCTTGAAGAACAGCATGCATGCTTCGCAGCTGTTGGCACGGCGCGTACGGATCGGCTGAACCCTGGAGTCGTTGCACACGCGCGACTCTCTAAGAAGACGTGTTTACAGTAGGACGTCTAGTGACTCGGAGTGAACGAACCCTAGCTGCACGGGGCGGGGCGGGCTGCCGGCAGACGCTTCAGAAGAGTCGCGTCACTCGGTTACACCCTTGGTCATCTGGTGCCTGGCGCACTATGCACGAGCGCAAAATGCTATTGGTATGTATGCATGGGCGCATTTCCGACCGGAGGGCACAGTTCAAACAGTATCACCAACGGCCGACTTTAGTGCACCACAATCGGGCGTAGTTCCTTCCAGTGTCGTAAAACAACATCACATGTTCCCGATCTTCCCGTCTCCCGATGTTTAACCATGTGCATGTTAAATGATGTAATACATTTGGTAAGGGGTACGTGGCCCCGGGGGCTAGTATGTGGGCACGCCACTACAACTATACCTGCTCCTAAGCAAAGCATGAGTGTTTTAGTTACCATATTTTCAAACGTTACGCTATTTGATGTTTTCGACGCTGTTTGTTATATCCTAGCGTTACACGTGAGTGAAACCACGATCAGACACGCTCGACGCCGGCCAGGGCACTACTGTCCGGCGTGAGGGAATGCTTGTGGCCGCGGGCATCCCATCTTCTCAGCTCCTTCAGCTTCCTCTCCTCTCCCACCTCGTTATCTCCCTTTTCCGCTTTATCAGCTCCGGTGCGCATGGGCAACGGCGTTCACCGAGCAGCGTCGTCACTAGAACTCGTGGTTCCCCCTACCCCTTACAGTGACCTGTCCTCCTGTCCCCGCCCCTATTGACAGCGACCCCGTCCGGCCCCGTCCTGTTCGTGCCTGACTGCGCCTGACGCTCCAGCACTATCAGTCCGGAAGTGTCGGCCGCGCGACGCGCGCCGAACCCTGCGGCGGAAATGCCGCGTGCCGGCGCTCCCGGCGCGGCTCGGCAGACTCTCGGCGAGGCTCGGCGGACTCCCGTCGCGGCTCGGCCGACTCCCGACGCGGCTCGGCCGACTCCCGACGCGGCTCGGCCGACTCCCGGTGCGGCTCGGCGGACTCCCGGCTGGCGGCTCGGCGGACTCCCGGCTGGCGGCGCCGTCCAGTCCCAGCGGTGCTCAGATGACCAGGCGGATAGGCGGGCTCGTGTCCCGCCACAGGGCCACCCGAACGGCGTGGGCCTGAACAGCCGCCGACGGGAGCCGCATCACAGGCAGCATGTTCAAACAAGTATCGCTGTCCGTGTCGACTGGCCGACGGTGGAGTCCCGCACGTCCGACGCTCAAATCACTCAGACGCCACCGTCTCAAAGTAAAATGGCGTGCTTGACGTTAGTTCCACCTATAATCTATGATCTAATTAATATACTTAAAACAAATAAATGAAGTAAAATTAACGTACTATTGTTAAAAGCTCGTAATTTATACTCACTCGTCATCATGAATAGCCAAAAAAGCAGCTTCCCAACGGCAGTCAATGTTAATGATTATTTCCTACCGTTTACATTTGTTCTCAACTAGGTCATGTTTACGAGCTCAGGCCAATCATGT